CCCTCCTGCCACCCCTACCCCTTTGAACCTTTTCTTCCTATTTCAAATTATCAATTATTTGTTTTAATCATTTTAATCCTTAATTACACTTTCAGTTTCTCACACTAGAGAAACTATTTGGTATTTACACGTGTGTCCTATTTATTTCACTTAAGAGGATGGCCTGAATATGAATCCATTTAGCTGTAAATGTCTCTAGTTTCTTGTTCTTTATAGCTGAGTAGTACTCCATTTTATAAAAAAAACACCTTTTCTTTATCCAGTCTCCAGTTGATGGGCACTTGGGCTGTTTCCAAGCTTTAGCTGTTACAATTTGTGCCACTATAAACATGGGTGCACAAAAATCACCGTGGTAGGATTCTTTTAATTCTTTGGGGAAGATACCCAGCAGGGGAATAGCTGGGTCACATGGGACCTCTAGCCCTAGTTCTTTGAGGTATCTCCACACTGATTTCCACGTGGGTGCACCAGTCTGCACTCCTACCAACAATGTACCCACATACCACACCCCCGCCAGCATTTGTTATTGGATAATTTCTTGATAACAGGCATTCCCTCTGGGGTGAGGTGGAATCTCAGTGTTGTTTTCATCTGCATCTCTTGAATGACCAGTGATGCTAAACATTTTTTCATGTATTTATTTGCTGCTTTTACTTCTTTGTCTGAGAAATGTCTGTTCATTTCAGATGCCCATTTCTGAATTGGGTCTTTGAATCTGGGGGGGTCTGATTTTTTTCAGTTCTTTATATATTCTAGATAGTAGTCCTTTGTCTAAGGTACAGCTGCTGAAAATTTTTTCCCACATTGTAGGTTGTCTCTTAGCTCTGTTGGTAGTTTCTCTTGCAGTGCAGAAGCGTTTTAATAAGATGAAATCCCAGTTGATGATTCTTTGTGCTAATTCCCGTGCTACTGAGGTTTTGTTCACAAAGTCTTTTCCTATGCCAATGTCTTTGAGACATTCAATGCCATTTTTAAAAATCCTTATACTTTTGCAAAGAAAAAACAGTTTTGATGGAGCAGGAGGGCAGAGGACTTCCAGCAAGATGATGGAGTGAACAGCAGAGAAACGTCCTCTCTGAGATTTGGTGTCCAGATGCTGGAATATAGCAACATGAGGAAGACAGAACAGAGGGAAGTGGGTCCCAGGGACCCAGCAAGGATCTGAAGTGAGAAGTGAAGTCCTCAGGGAGAGGGAAGAGACCTCATGTAGAAGGATGTGGCAAGTGGCACTTTGTCCCTGAACCCTGACTCACTGCATGGGAGAGGTGGCCTGATTCTGCAGATGCATGGTGACTACTGGTGACCCCAGAGGCGTCCACAGAAACATACCAGTGGAACGGAGTGGTGGACACAGCAGGTGCAGTGGCTGGTGAGTTCTTTGGGTTCAGATGGCCCCCAGGAGAGGGCGACTGGCCAGGAGACATCTTGGAGAGAGGCCAACTGAACTCTAAATTCAGAGTAGCTGTGGGCTGGTTCCATCTAGCAGCACCCAATGTCGGGGTGAGGTGGAACCAAGTTCAAATGAGCAAGTGTCAAGGAGCCAAGCTTAAAGCATCAGGGAGCTGAGTTCAAGCCAGCAGGAGGCACAGAGCATTGCAAGCTGAACAAATCAATTTTCAGCCTCACAGCAGAAACCAGCCTGAGTTTCAGAACTAAAGGTGTAGGCTTGTTGGAATTATCCACTACCCTGCTGTATATCTATAGCTGACTTGCTGAAATTAATCAACACAGATCTAGCACTGTGTGCCCTGTGTCTACCAGTGACAGCAGACACACCTTAAAGTGGACTTACTTTTCTTATGTTTTTGCTTTTGTTTTGCTGTTGATTATTCTTGTTTTTTTATGTGTGAACACTGTTTCAAGTTTTTTTGTTGTTTTGTCCTGTTCTTTTTATTTCTTTCTTCTCTCTTTCCCTCTCGTCTTCCTCACTAGTTTCACAGAGTTTGCAAAATCTTCCTTTGTCCTCCATCCTTGCTTCTCATCTCTTCCTCTTCTTCTATTATCCATTTTTTTCCCATCACAGCCCTTTTAAATCTTCTCCCATAAGGATAAAATTGCCATATGGAAGGCTTATTTATTGCATACAATTTTCTGATTTGTTTTAGATTTTCGTTATGTAACTACCAATTTAGTTCATGCCATTAAAGGTGGCAAATTAATAATTTCCATAGTTTGTCATTTTCTAAGCTGTGTTTCATGCTGTTGTTATTGCTCATTGTACTACTTTAGTAAAGGCATAATACTTGTTCTAATCAGTTGTACTTCCTGGTGTGCAAAGACTGAGACTGCCTAAGAGTCATAAACAACACTATAGGCCAGTGTTAAAGAATCAGGGGGTAGGCCAAATAGGCAGCAACTTATCATCCCCAATAAATTG